TGACTGAATCAAGCCTTATTTCCCTATTCCTTATCTGGTTATGGGCATGGAGTAGAGTCAGTCATTCAATCAACTATTCAATATTACACCATTAACGACTATTAAGCGCAAGGTAACTATGGAATAACCACATCAAGATCAAACTAAACAGAAGTACCCCAATTGTCAAAGATAACCCGACCACAAGTAGAATTCCGGGAAGAAATTCTTGTAACGGGGGGAGAATGTAACAATTGGCAAAAATAGGAACAATTATAGGATACCATATATTGATTCTAATCAATATGAATAGTTTACCAAAAATGGTTTAAGGAATTTAACACGTTTTATTTAGAAAAAGTCTTGGTAAAATAAACTGGTGAATAATGATAAATTCTTTTACGATGTATTATTCCGAACTAAAACTGGTTCGTGAAATCTATCAAATAATGTCATTTTAATAGGGAGTTTTAATTTCAATTTCAACACGTCTCCAGTTAATGAGTAACTTAAATTCCATCTACGAACTCGTATTCAATAGTTTTGAGGAATCAAAAGTTGACTACATTACGAACTCGTATTCCATCTACCTACTCTTCCTCAAAATATATTTTAACTAAATCCTATCTCTAAATAACTAAACTACATTCCTATCTCTAAGTAACTAAGTCCTATCTCTATGTAACTAAACTTGCAAGTGGGGATTCAAGTTGCAAGGTGAATCTTATCCTATCTTGGAAGATATTTTACACCTCTCTCCTTCCCCTATAAATATCGACACCTTCCTCATCATTTCTTCTTCATATTCCATCCAAATGCTCTCAAGAAATCACTCTAAGATCACTCTCAAACTCAACCATTTTCAGCTCCACATTTCCTCTTTGTGATCTACCAAAACCGAGAGCAAGAAATGTGCTGTTGCGTTCGGGTTTTCTGCCACCATTTCAGCCCCTTGCACCTTCACTTTTCATGGTATTTTCACCTCAAATTACCTCTGAAAGTTACTTGATTTGCTGCATTAAAATGGGTTATCAAAACAGTGGGTAAACCACTCTTTTTCTTATTTCTTTGTTGGAAAAATCGTGACATCAACAGCCCAAAACAGTGGCTGTTTTTCGAGTATTATAAAATTCACAAAAGTTTCAATTTTTGCTTCCATATTCCGAGATCTAAACAGCCCCATACGGTTATGATTTCGAGTGTCTATAAACCCAAGAAAACCTTCATCTTGTTCCTTAGAATCGTTGTGTTTCAACACTCTTTTGGTAACACACTTTGGATCCAAGATAAACTAGGTGATTATATGATTTCTACCTTTCCTTTTTATCAAAAAAACTCACTTGGTTTAAGTGATTTAAAGCTTGATAAAATTCTAACTTATTGTTAACGAATGTCTTTATGTGTTAAGACATCCCAAAAATCATTCAAATCTCAAGCTTCGTTGGAACCGGAAACTTCACGAATTTTTGTCGAACCGAATAACGACGTGACAAAAGTGAGTTTCTATGGCCCCTCTTTTATGTTTTACAAGTTTTGGGGGAGAATACATGCTAAATGATTTCTATTTGGATGAAATAAAGGCTTGGTTAACTAAAAATACAAATTATTTCTCTATGCATTTCTAAGCTTAATTTTCGGTTTTTTTTCCGAAAAATTGTGGTATGTTCAACAACTGTTTTTCCCATATTAAACCTTATCATTTGCAAAACTGTACAATATGAAAGTAGTTCAGATTAATACCTTTTCAGGGAATACTCGCACCTGTTTATACGATTTTTCTACAATTTATGATGATTTTTACCAAACTACATATAATTTCATAACATTTCGAACCAGTTTGTAAAAACAGACCTTTTTGCCCTGGTTAGGATTCACATAAAGTCAGTGCAAAAATCATGGACAAAGTAGACTCAATTTCTAAATCTCGAGAGTTTACGGATCCTAATTCCGACCCCCGATGATTTTTCTAGAATTTTTCTAAAACAGGGACAGAATAGACATTTTTGATTAATTTCCCAACCTTGTCTCATCGGGTTAAATTGGCTTTAAGTGATACAGATGTTGTATGTAGGTGTTGAGTTTTAAGTATATATACATATTTTATCACCCAAATGATAATAGAATATGTACATATATATTGTTATAAAAAAAAGGTTTTCTATATATATGTATATATATGCTCCGTACATAAATGGTTGTATATATATATACATTTATATATCAAAAGAACGTAAACGGAAATGTTATATGTGTTCGTTAAAATGTTTGCCTTGTGTATGTACACATTTAAATAGCATTATTTTCGCACGTATTTTACTACTATAGTTGTACAGGTTTAGATTGTTAAGGTTTTGGTTGGTTTCACTTAGGTTGAAGTCTAGTTTTAGTGAAAACGCAGTCGTTATGATGCCCGGTTTGGATAGGAAAACTTTTGTAGCTTTACACTTAGGATTCATTAAGCTTTACAACCAAAAGTTTCCGAACATAAACACTTGGGAATTGTAACCTAAAACTTTCATAGGAAGACTTTTGTAGCTTTACACATGTATTAAGCTTTACAACCAAAAGTTTCCGAACATAAACAATTGGGAATTGTAACTAAAACAAGGGATTGTTGTAGGAGTTTCTCATTCATCAAACTAAGAACACCAACTTAGTGAAGTCCTCTGTAATAACCGTTAATCCTTTGTGAGCGAAGAATGTTGTGTATAGATCTATACGGGTTGACAACCCCGTCCGTATGGTTGTTAGCTACAACCTTCGTGTGACGAGACAAATCGGACGATAACTCCTTGTTTTTATCTTATTTCTTTTATCACGATGTTGATGAAGCGTCGTTGGGACAACAAGCACCTTATTGTGCTTCACAGAGGCTTGAACAAGTCATAGCTCGGTTATTTACTCCACAAAATCCCGGATACATAAATACTAATACAAACTTCGCCAAGGTTGTATGTAGTATACACATTGTTTGTAGATTGTTAACCAGTTTTGTAGTGTTTATTTATACAAACACTTAATATTTCACTTCACGAAAATATGTTACTTTTTACTTATTCATTATAAGTATATTAACATGAATACTTATCTCAGATTACAAGTATTGGGTCTCACACGATGCACATCAGTAACATTGTTGACTATGTTTTTGCACAAACTTTTCGGATAAACATTTTATGTTTTATAAACATTTACTCTCAGATCAGGATTAAGTGTAGTGTTTTATTTAAATAAAATAAACACTTAAGGGTATACAATACAAAATCATGTTGACTTCAACTTATATTTCATAAGTAAATCAACATCCATACTTGTATGGGATTACAAGTACATTTACACTTAGGTCAAGATGACATTTCTCATTATTGTTTTACCACTCTGAATTATAAAAGTAACATTTTTATACAATCTGATAACGGTTGACTTATACACAAAAATCCTCTTTTAAACAATACAAATAGAGTCAAAACCTGTAGAACTCACCAACAATTTTGTTGACGTATTCTCGCGTGTATTCTCAGGGAAATAAAAGCTGGATGATAAGCCTCACGAGTTGGAATAACCTTTCTTGGCTAACCTCTTCAGGTCTTTTTTTTTTTTTTGTTTTTGTTAAATTATGCCTTGCTGAACTTGCTTTGTAAACTTGTATTTCGAAGCTTGACTCACTGAAATCCTTGTATTCAAATCTATGAAGACATGTAGTGTTCTTCAAGTCTTGTACTGTTTAATGTATGTCTTGTAACTGTGATCCAATTTTCAACGTCACAACCTCGGCGCTTCCGCCGCCGGCCGGGGTGTGACATGCTCCCCATGAAAAATACCTAGATAAAAAAATTATAATTGTCAATATATCAATCTTTGGAAATGAATGTAAAATAGAAATATAAAACCACTTACAAGTTACATTGTTGGCATAAACTACAAGATCAAATGCACAAAATTAATTTCAATAATCAAACAGCTTAAAAGTTATATTTATTGGCATATGTAGATAAAAGCACATGAATTTTTTTTAGAAGCAAAAACTGTCGCCATTTTAATCACATGTCAATCCTTCCCTCAACCAACAAAGAGTCCAACAAATATCTACAAAAGCAAGAATTTTATAAACTTTTTTGTTGTGATATCTATCTCTTTTATAACGATCGTCATCCTTTTGTGATAATTAAAAATACTTTATTTGTAGTGACAGTTCATATATCTTGATTTTAGAACTATCCTCCTGTTACATTCACGTGATTTCCATGGAGGCTATATGGTTGATTTTAATAAAGATGGCAATTCATGGAAGTGGAATAACAATTTTAAAATTTTGGATACGTTAAATTGATTATTTAGTTTGATTAATAGATATATTCGTTCATGACTAGGTAACCGATTTTAAACTATTTTGTTAATCGTAAAACTTTCATGTGATTTTTTTTTTAGGAACGACGGAAATATCATAAAAACTGGCAAGGAGCTAGAAAAAGAAAGTCATTACATCAAAGTTGTAGCAGAAATAGGATTGTGAAGCCAAGAACTCCAACATAACTTAGCTTTACAACACCTACTAGAAACTTTCATGTGATTTAGATGCATTCATTCAATAAAACACATACACAAAAATTGTAAATGTTTATTGCAGAATTAGAATAGAAGAAATTTTGTTAATCATAAAATTTCCCTATGATATAGATACATTAATTCAACAAAACACTTACACAAACTCAATATATATATATATATATATATAGATATATATATATATATATATATATATATATATTGAAATTAATGGTATGTTTTAATTTACTTTTAATTAATAGAATATTTATGAAATGTGAAACTGACACCTAAAACCGTTTTAAGGGTATGTATTAAATCTATTACCTTGTTTAATATATATATATATATATATATATATATATATATATATATATATATATTGTAATTAATGGTATGTATTAAATCAATTACCTTGTTTAAGTATCCACCGACCCTATATATGTAGACCATATCTATTGGAGTGATACGCACAAATTCAATACAATCTATCTCTTTTACTTAAAAAAAATTAAAAATGGTTCAACCAAGAAGTCCTTGCCAAATTCTCTTGATCATTGTTCTTTGTACTGGTAAGTTTTTTACATATGGATTCCTTGCCAAGTAGTAAATCTCTAAGGGTTTTTATTTTAATGGTTCACATTCCATATATAAGTTCCTAAATCTTTTCTTATTTTTTGTATGTATATAGTTTCATGCAAAAGTTTCCCTATCCTCATGACTCTCCATTAAACTAGGATTATTACTTCATTTCCAGTTTTGAATTACATTATTTTATTAAATTTACTATGGTATAATAACGTATCAATATAGGCCATATATGCATGACAACAGTAAAGTAATTTGAAAGTATTTCTTTGGCCTTGGTTGCAGCACTGTGTTGGAGACCACTGATGAGCTCTATGTTGGAGACCGCTGATGGGCCAATGACTGTAGATAATAGAGAGACCACTGATCCAAAGGATTACTACTGTTGTAAAAGTTTTGATAGGTCGTCATGTAATCCACAAGTTTGTAACAATGACTGTACAAACAAAGGGTGCGCGGGTGGGATTTGCAAAAAAGAGGGCACCTTAAAATGTCATTGTAGATGCTAAAGCATATTGGGATTTTCTTTTGATTGGAAGTTGCATGGTGAAATAAATAATATAAGAGATCTTTTATTTATTTATTTATTTCCTATTTATAGAGTGAAATAAAAGAGTAATTAATGATTGTAAGTTACAATAATGTGTTATGGGTGACTATTCTATCATCATATGATCGAGTACAGTTTGTGTTTATGTTAATTAGCATCACATTGGTCACATTTCATCGGAACTATGAGAGAAATCAACATTAATTATAGAAAATGTGAACCAATTCCAAAGGTAAGGAAAAGAAAAAGGGAAACAACAACGTACAAACAACAGAAATTAAAAACTTATAATCAAGAATGCCAAATATGTGGTCATAAAATAATGAAACTCTAGATCAAATCTAATTTGCATATCTGTCGATGTTTTACTATTGTACTCGTTTGTTAACAGCAAAATATATTGAAAAAGAACTAGTAGCGATTAGCTAAAACAAAAAAGAGGAGCAAGCATCTATAGTGTTCCAATGCCAATTTTTCCTGTTCGAAGGTCAACAAGAAGACATGGTCAGCCACTTTTACATTGGTGAAGCTTTATTCTCAATTTATACAAGTACTTATATATTATGGCAGAAATTTAGCATTTAATTTACTTGCTCCTTACAAAGATTGTAGGGATTGTACTTATATATTATGGCAGCAATTTAGCATTTTAGTCACCCATAACACATTACTGTAACTTACAATCATTAATTACTCTTTTATTTCACTCTATAAATAGGAAATAAATAAATAAAAGATCTCTTATATTATTTATTTCACCACACAACTTCCAATCAAAAGAAAATCTCAATATAAAAGATCTCTTATATTATTTATTTCACCACACAACTTCCAATCAAAAGAAAATCTCAATATGCTTTAGTAGACCTGTCAATGGGCGGGTTTGGAGCGAATCAACCTTGATCCAAACCCATTTAAAAAAATAAAAACATGACCCGCTCCGCTCCAATAACCCTCAGGGTCTTGATTAGTCGAATCCATACCCGTATCCACCGAATCAATGAATACCCGACCCTTTTATAATATTAAATTTTCATAATTTTTATGTGTTCCACAAAGTAATATTTCTCAAAAAGATAAAATGTCTACTTAAACAAGATGTACATTAATTTATACTCAAAGTCCAATACAATAAAAATCACATTTTACTTAGACATCGAGTTGTATATTTTGTTGTCATATATATATATATATATATATATATATATATATATATATATATATATATATATATATATATATATATATATCTATATGTGTGTGTGTGTGTGTGGGGCGGGTCATAAGTGGAGCGGACCGACAATGATCCATACCCGACCCATTTAGTAAAAGGGTAAACGGGTATGGATCGTAAACGGGTAAACGAATCAAAAATTAAAATCCAAATCCGTTAAATTCTTACGGGTTTGGAGCGAATCAAGGTCAAAACCCGCCCCATTGACAGGTCTATGCTTTAGCATCTACAATGACATTTTAAGGTGCCCTCTTTTTTGTAAATCCCACCCGCGCACCCTTTATTTGTACAGTCATTGTTACAAACTTGTGGATTACATGACGGCGTGTCCAAACTTTTACAACAGTAGTAATCCTTTGGATCAGTGGTCTCTCTATTATCTACAGCCATTGGCCCATCAGCGGTCTCCAACATAGAGCTCACCAATGGTCTCCAACACAGTGCTGCAACCAAGACCAAAGAAATACTTTCAAATTACTTTACTGTTGTCATGCATATATGGCCTATATTGATACGTTATTATACCATAGTAAATTTAATAAAATAATGTAATTCAAAACTGGAAATGAAGTAATAATCCTAGTTTAATGGAGAGCTATGAGGACAGGGAAACTTTTGCATGAAACTATGCACATACAAACAATAAGAAAAGATTTAGGAACTTATAGATAGAATGTGAACCATTAAAATAAAAACCCTTAGAGATTTACTACTTGGCAAGGAATCCATATGTAAAAACTTACCGGTACAAAGAACAATGATCAAAAGAATTTGGCAAGGACTTCTTCGTTGAACCATTTTTAATTTTTTTTAAGTGAAAGAGATAGATTGTATTGAATTTGTGTGTCACTCCAATATATATGGTATACATACATAGGTTACATAGGTTCGGTGAATACTTAAACAAGGTAATTGATTTAATACATACCATTAATTTTAAGATATATATATATATTATATATATATATATATATATATATATATATATATATATATATATATATCTTAAACAAGGTAATAGATTTAATACATACCATTAAAACGGTTTTAGGTGTTAGTTTCACATTTCATAAATCTTCTATTAATTAAAGTAAAGTTAAAACATACCATTAATTTTAATATATATATATATATATATATATATATAATATATATATATATATATATATATATATATAACTTTCATGTAATGGAACGATTAACAAATAATGGGTTTTGGATGAGGCGGTGTTCATTGTTTCTAAATTGGGTGGATGGCTGTGCTGTTGATGGGCACCGAAGGTTTGTCTACCGTGAGTGTGTAGAATTGTATAAAGAGAAGAGATATGGAAGAGAAACTATAGAAGGAAAGAGATAATTTTTGAGTTAGTTACCTAAATTAGATGAATGAATTAAAAATTTAATTAATTAATTTTTTTTTAATTTATTATAATACCGTTATCCAAATTTTGAAAATGATTGGTTGAGAATTAGTAACACATTTACATAATACTTATTCATATACATATGATCCTAGCTATATATATATATATATATATATATATATATACACACACACACACATACACACTCACTAGATATATGCCCGCACAAAGTGACGGCGATAAATAGCTCTTTTGGCTAATAGTTTTCTTACATGTAACAATTATTAGATTTTATTATTAGTTTTTATGTAAAAAAATTACCACGTTTAAATAAAATATTTGTGCTTAGACCTTATACTTATATTTTATGTTTCTACATTTAATGTAAATTAAGTAACACTGATGTCTAGTTTAAGAAATTTAAATTAATTTATATACATGAATTTTAATATTTTAAAATTATCATTTTGCTCAAAATTAAATTTCTTAATAACCTTCTTTAATTCTAGTTTTCAAACTTTTGACAAGTATTAATGATATTTATGCATAATTGATTTGTACAAAAAACTTTGTAATTTATATATCTTAAAATTCAAGATATGACTAATATGCTTTATAATATAGTATAAGAGAGAGAGAGTAATGTATAATCATCAAATATTATATGAATGTATGACTAACTTTGAAGAACTTGATAAAGATAAAATTAAAATTTTAACGTTAGATAATTATGGTAAAAAATTAAATAAATTAATAATCCTATAAACTAGGCATATTAGTTTCATATATACCGCCTTTCTATAGCATATGCGCCTGCTCCTGATTTCCACCACCGTACTTGGAAGTGCCGCCTCATCCCATGCCTCCCTCTGATTGTCTTCCTCCGCCAAAGTCCTTGAATGCCGGTAAGTTTTCTCCTTTTTTTTATTTTCATTCTTGAACAATTGTTTTGCTTAAACGATTCTGAAATCATCTTTTCGTCTTCTTTGTTGAACGGTTTTGAAATTATTTTTTTCATACTTGAACGATTATTGATATAATTAAAATTGTTTGTAGCCTTGAAATCAGTTCATCAAATCTTGTCCATCGATTCTTATGGAATAAATTTATAATTTCCTAATCATCAATTTTTTTTTGGCTTCACTTAACCTAAATAGTCTATTGGTTATACATAAAACTATAGGTTTCAGAGCAATTATATGTCCATGTTCCTCTATTTAGCTAGGATACATGAATCGATGGATTGGTACGCATTGATTTCTTTGATTTCTTTTCTCGGGGAAATTTTGGTTTAATGGTTAAAAAACATTTTCAAATCAATGCATTCTTAAAGAATTAACTATATTTCTTAGAGAATGAATTTCGATTCTTCAATAATGGGCTATGAGAATGTCAATATTAATTATTCTTATTATCAAGAATGAAGTTTTAACTAAAACAATTGATTCTTAACTAATCTGAAGATGTATAACAAGCTTTATTTTAAAATTTTCATTCTTAAACATAAATATTGCATATTCAGCAATAGTAGATTATACAATATTCTCGCATTCTCCAAGAATTTAATACGTAAGTAATTTTCAATATGCAAAATTTATTATATTGTATTTTTAATTTTATAGAATGCACAAATAGTAATTAACTTTTTTTTTATAAAAAAATCTCCAAGTTTACTAATCATATTAAAAGATACTGTAATTAATTTAAAATGTAAAATATATAATTTTATTATTTTGAAATATAATTTAATTTATATCCCTTAATATCCTCACTTTCTATAAACTACTTAAACCAAATTCATTAATTTTCCTTACAATTAATTAAATGTAGTTATATAGTAAATGATATCCCATATTAATACTTTGTAGCCTATGATCATAACCATTCATTTTTTTTAATATAACGGCTAAAAGTTGGTCATACATTCAAATAATACTTGTGATTCATATATATATATATATATATATATATATATATATATATATATATATATATATATATATAAAAGATCAAATGACAACTTCTAAGAACGAACCATTTATTTTTAACATATTTTTACATACTCTAATATTTTGATTTTTTTTAAAAAACTTTAATTAATAGCCAAAAATAAATAAAAGACATAATATTAATTTTTAAGTTTAACAACAAATATCTAATATCTATTAACATTTCTAACACTTCCAAAAAAAATTCAAAAACTTTTTCAAATCCTTTCAAACTCTCCCCAAGAACACAAAGCCTAACACCACCTCTCGCACCTGCCTCCGCCTACCGTCGCCGCCTACCACCACCGTTATCTACCGCCTTTCGTCGTCAGAATGTTAAGTAGCCAAAGTTTTTCTCTTCATTTGAACTCCACTGATACTCCATTGATCTCAGGGAGTGAAAACTCCATCGCCGAATGCCACCACCGACG